CGGGGTGCTGTAAAAGGACTGCATCGATTAGGGTTGATCTTGGTAATAAACACGAACGTCGCGGTAATAGAATGTGGGCGTAGCTCGGTGTTAATGCACTCTATGCATCGCGTAGATTAGTTTGTTCTTGCGGTACTTTCAGTGCCCATTCCCCTTAGTCTTTTTTACGTTGATTATGAATCTCCATAATGGCAGCGGCGGCTCTTGGAAACTCTTTATTCGTATTCCGTGACGCTAAGGAGGGAATTTTTACAACTTCATTTTATCTTTTCGTTTTCACGTGTAGTTGCCAGACCTTATCGCCAACTAGTGGTGGTAATATGATCAATTAAATAATTAGCGTTTTTTCTTTATAGATTAATTCCAAGTGAAAGTTATTATGCGCTTTATTCCAGTCACTTTGAGGCTACGATTGCATTATTTCTGCAGCTTATCGGCCGGTCGTATCGAAGCTTTTGTAGGTTAGGCCTGGAGTAGACCCGGTTGCATTTTCAGGTGGTGTTTCACTCGATCAGCTTAAAATTTCCTTCGTCATTTGATTTGCAAGTTACGTTTCAGTATAATTAATAGAGTTCAACTGATTTTTTATCGAACAGTGTCACGGTTCGTTTTATATTTTAATACGCGATGTTATAAATACAACCAGAAACAGTAAAATAATAATTATTCTGCGGTAAACCTTTTGGAAATTGAAGCGAGCCTCGGATGCTGGCATAAAATTGACTCTGTCGAAATATAACGGTAAACGACGCCATTATGTTTTACATAATTAAACGGGCGGCGGTACGGCGCGATTCTGGAAACACGGTAAACGCATTTAGCGAATCAATCGGAATCCGACGGATGTGATTAGATTTCATGCATGACCGAAGCTGACCGTTTTAGCAATTGATACGGCATAATACAGCATGGCCGTTTGAAATCGATAAACGCGTATTGTTCTACTGGGCCAGACCTCGCGATAATCGCTTTAGCGAGATATTAAAATATTTCTCTTCTGAAATGGCAAACGAAGGAAAAGGTTAATACCTCGAGGAAAAGGAATAGTATGCAAATTAGTGGAAACGAATCCGTAACGATACTTTTTGAGTTATAATGTTCAATATCATTTAACGTGATTAAAAGAAAAGATCATAATCAAATGAAGACGTTTCAGGGAAAATAGTTTTTTGATAAAGTAATTGAAAATAAAAATAAAAATATATAAAGAGAAATGAACAAAAAAAATTTAAGGAAAGAGACTTGATGATGAATATCGAATAATTAAAGATGATAAAGACTAAGGTTTTATTTAATTATTTCTTCGTCGATAAAGATAGAGACAAATATTCCTTATTTTAAGTTTTATATATTGTATATGTTACTTTTACTTAAATTGTGTAATTTATCAGCTGTTTAAATTGATAAATAAATATAAATAAAATAAAGTTTAGTCTCAAACTGCGCTTAATTTGTTGATTATTTTTGCCCGGTAAAGTGAAAAACATTCAATCCGCGAGGGATTAATTAACGAAAATCGATTTCGCTGAGCCTCGTGCGCGATCATACGTGATAAACGGCAAAATCCATCCAGCAATCCTTCAAATATAATTGAAAACGTGGTGTATTTTATTCTTAATTAAAGAAGGATAATCGTTCGTATAGGATTTGTGTTGCAAAATATAAAGTACATTTCGTGCTCGTCGATTTGCTCGGTTCGTCGAGTCGATTTCCTGCGGCTAAATCGATTTCACCAAGAAATCAGGATTACTCGACGAAGCTGCGATTTGCAGAAGGTCGAACGTAACCTTTTGAATTCGAAAGGTGATTCCCAGTCGTCACTGGATTTTACGTGACAATTTGAGTGTCAAATGCAAAGCGAAAATTTGTATCTATGTTTGATTTCCTTGAATTTCGAATCGTTACTGTCATTATTAGTCCATGAACAAGTTGTTAATTGTGTAATTTTTTAGAAATTGTAAAATGGTACATTTTAAAATAGCGGTAAGGTTTTTCGACTGAAAATTATTTCTTAAATCTCTATTCTTTCAAATGATTCGGAACCTTGTATCGTTTTTTAGAATCTAGAAGGTGATGGCGGAGAAAAGGTAGAGTTAAATTAATTTCATTACAGAAAAAGCTAAAAAGTCAATCGAAAATATATGATAAAACTTAGAAAATAATTTGCAATGAAAATTTCAAAAGATATATTCTGACATTTTTCATAAAAATCGTGTTAAACAGGAGTGTTTCCACTCCTTTCAATTTTGAGAAACTCTTTATACCGCTTCCACGAAGTACAACTATCTTTGACGCCTACGGGCGTTATAAAATTCGTGCAAGTGACTGGTGTCAGAAGCCGTCAAAAATTGGAAAACGAAAGAAAAAGAGAAACGTAAAAATCGCGCTGGAATCCTCGTAAGAGATCGTCCCCTGGGTGCGAACTATTTCGAAGCTGACTGGGCGCTTTTTTTTTAAATCGAAAACACGATGACTTCACGCTCACGCTCCCGCCGCCATCGATCACCCCTACAAATTGCTTTCGTACAAAATTTTTCCTTCCCGTTTTGTCTCGAGCGACGAGCTCGCACGTACAACGCTCGCCCGTCCCATCCATCCACCTGCTCAGCCCTCGGGAAAGTTCTCCAGAGCGAGAACTAACTCGACGCGGCTGGATTCCAAAGTACGGATTTGTTTTTCCGCGTCGCTATTTACTTTTTCACGGCGGCGTGCGCAGGATGAATGAGGAAGGAAACCTCGAAGGGTGAAGGAACTGGGTTTCCCTGTTTTCTTCTTTTTTCGCGCTACCCACGGATTTCATACTACTGCGCACTTCCATCGAAGGCCAATGACGAATGGTTATCGGAACAAAGCAATGCGCCGCTTCGGCGCTAATGTTGCGAAACGCTTCAAAACTGGGTAAATTCGATTTACGACCGACCATGACTGGCGTTACGTGCACAAGTTTCGTTTGATCCCTGTCGACTTGCACTTTTGCTTTCAATTTTTCGAGTTTATTTCGTGTAATTAGTTGACGTGTTATTTGTGCATAGATAGTGCATACCATATATAGCAAAGTATGATGACAGATTAGTAAGGATCAATTATACAAAATCAGTCATGGAAGCTGGATGTGCTGTATCCGTTTTGTGTGTGATCTTTTTGTATTTTTCATTACTATATAATATTATACGAATTTAATTTTTTAACGCCTAATGATTCTAATTGGAATACTTTGGAGGTAGGTTAATTCAAAATTGTCGATTTTAGAGATTTCTTTATTTTCGAGTCATCGCATTCGTCTATCAAACTGGTAATATGCTGACATTAAATTTGTATTGATATTATTAACGCAAGAAAACTTTTACTCTGCTTCTACCAATATAGAAGTATCATGATTTTATTTACCAGAACAATTCTATGTTTACCTACGAGTGTACTTGGAAATGCTGCTTTTTTCCGCAAGAGACTTATAGAGGATTCGAATGTAACTAGCCAGGATTCCAGCCTAATCGCCAGATGCTTGATGCCACAGTTAGCGAAGAAATCGAGATCATCCTTCTCGAGCCTCGTTACTCGAGATTCTTGCCAATTAGTGGAGCCCTGGTTAGGAATCTGTCTAATCATTTTCACCGAGGGATGAAACAATAGCACGTATGCCCCCGCGAACGAGGAGGTCGGACTTGGAAAAATCTCGGCTCTTTCCAGTTTCCGGTTTCTGGGTCACTCGTCGAGTAGTTCCGTGTTTTTGAAAAATTCGCGGAATCTGCGCGAACGAGATCCGGAGGCTTGGTGGAAAATTAAAGATACCTGGGAGTGCTGTGCAATTGAACCCGTTCGACGTTCGTCCTAGATTCTTGTTCGTTGCGAAAAGATCTCGAAAACGCATCGTTGAATCGAGATAAACACATGGGTTAGTACCCGTGAAATTTCGAAGGCGAATCGTAGTCGCTGAATCGGAAAGAAAATTCCACGGAGGTTCTCGTTACCTTCGTTTTTATCGCACGGTCTTACGTATGTACGACGTCGGTGAGAGGTCGTGCAATCGAGTGCGGGGTGATTCCTCGCGCAAATGTAAGTGGGAAACGTACAATGAAATTGTTTCTTCTGAATCTTTGTTTTTGAAGATATCAATTTTTAATAGGATTTCTAGCAAAGGTTTTAAAAGACACTTTTTGAAATTTTCATTTAAAATTACTATTTAGCTATGTCCATTTTTCCCAATTTACTTTTCAACATTTTCTAGAATACTTATAAAATTAATTTAGTGGAACTTTTTCCCTACCTGTTTCAATATATGAAATACAGATATACTATACCTATTTCTACCATGAGGTGTCTTTTGACGCCTCAAGGATTTTATGACACTATCTAATCTTAGATTAAATAGTGTTATAGTGATATAATGTTAAAATTTCTCGGGCACCTATGCAAATGAGTTGTACATGCCGTGTCTGACCATTACGCGCTATTTCTACTTGCGTTGGAGACTGTATGCATCGATAGTGGCTGACCTAGTAGTAATTATAATTTCATACTATTGAATACAAGAATTCTTCATAGAGCGTATCATTTACAAGCTATCCAAGATGATTATACTACGTACCTCATCCTGTACCTTTTCGTCGGATATTCCCGAACAAGTTGGAGGATTCTGCTTCAAAGGAGGATGTCCCGATAAAAGCAGAATGGAAACGAAGAAAGTTCGAGCTGTATCGAAAAAGAGAGTGACAGTTGAAAATGCGCACGGGAGGATAAAGGTTCTCTTCCCCTTCGATGCTCATAGAAATTCCGTGCTGTTCGCGAGCAGTTTCCAAGGGCAGAACGCCGTAAGCAAAGTGCCACGTTCGCGTGCACAACCATATATAACAGTGTGTAGATAAGGTAGAGTCGAGGCAGCCGAGTAATATATCTCGTAGACGTACGCGAGAGGCATTTACATCTCGAGCATTCGATTATCGCCGTGTACTGTACGAATTGTTGCAACAACACTTGACGTTTTTCTATATTTTCTGTTACAGGGACAAGGTGTTCAGGCTGAATCTGAGCAACATCAGTCACTCGAACTGCGAGGTGAGTGTTCTTTTTGTATTAATTAATCCTGAAACTAATACTCAAATTAAAAACTATATAAAAATTTAAAAACGATCATTTGACCATCTGTGGCAGGTTTAGTGTCAAGAAATTTAGTTACGGATACTAGTTCAGCAAATACTAGTACAGAAAAGAAAACTAATGTGGTATTGAATAGTAAATTTTAAGATAGATTTTAAAATAGCTTTAAAAGATAAATCTTCATTTAGAACCTTGCAACTGCTCAACGCGGTTTCCGTTTAATCCTGCAAAGTCGATAGCTTTTCTTCCGCAGCTAGAACTCGTGCAATGGCACAGTCCTGAAACCACCTTCTGTCGCAGCATCACGCTTCGATTAGCATCAAACGTCGCGTAACGCTTGACCCCGGGTCTCGTTCGACGATGAAACGCGGTCCCGCTCGTAAATCCGAAAACGGTCTTCGGTGTTCCCCATAAAACTGTCAATCACGTCGACCGGAACGTCGCCTACATCATCGCGACAGCTGACGACTCTCCGATGCTAAGCGAACCATTGTAGAGGAACAGTGCGTGCCCCGATTTTTCCACGCACTCTTTCATCCGGCTTTTTCTTTCATTTCGACTGGATACACTGGCGCGTCTGTGCGCCGTATCGAACAATCGACGCCGAGCTTAATGCACGCCAGTGAAAATGGACTCGCGCGGTGAAAATTCCGTGACGTTTCACGGAGCCTTTTAAGAGCGTGGTGTTCACATCCGCGACACGAAAGAGAATTTTGATATTTCGAGGTCTGCCTTTTAATTCACACGCGAGGCACTGGAAGGGCCGATGGAAGAAAGCTTTGTCGCATTCGACTAATGTGTTTCGTGTTCCGTGTGTTTTTTGAATGAGGAGATCGATTGGTAGGTCTGCCGCTTTGAAGTAAATGAAATAGTAATGGCCAAAATATAGATCGATTGAATATTCCGCTATTTCGCTCTTACTCCTTTAACGATTAAAAGGAATGGGTTTCAGAGAGCATTTCTTGTTAACAAAAAAGGATCATTGTACAGCATCGATCACATTCTTGGAAAGATTATATTGTCCTAATTAAATCGTATTAACATCGCATTCAAAACAAGTATTATACTTAAATTACATTATATTTATAATTTAATCCTTCGATATAAAGCTCTAGATAAATTTTCAAATATTAATAATACTACCACTTTTCAAATAATACTGCAATATTTGTTTGCAATGTGTCATACGCGATACAAGAGAGAAAGATTCTCATGCAATTAAAATAACCGATTCATTCGCTAATGACTAATTACGAATTGCCTCGAGAAGTAGTTCCATCAACGCTACGTCCGTAATCCTCTTTATCCGTCCCTCTCCGTTGTTCCTCCTGCACCGATCTGCATCTCGTTAAATTTTTGCACGCGCACAGGTGTGCTTTCTATTCAGCGACGCAAAGCGCAGCGAAACGGCGGTCGTTACCACCGGAATACGGTGGGTTCATTCGTTTAGATTAAATTGGAATTGCTTTGTCGAAGCCGACGTCGGCGACACCGACGTTAGCGTGCCGGTGGTCAACTTCAGTCCGATTGTTGGGACTGTCGGAAAAGGAAAATTGCTTTTTAACCCTCTCGAGCGATCGTAGAGAGAGCTCGAGATGGCCAGCTGAATGCCACTTCCTTTCGGTCCGCTGCAATGGTTTTTACGAAGACCGAAATCCGATCTCTGGAGCGTCGCGACGTTCGTCCTTTTGTCTTCGTTCTGCCGTTACTCGAAACGCCTCGATCGAAATTGCTATTAACCTTCATTCCGCCACTTCTTCCGTCGCCTTCGTTTCTGCCGCTCCTTTTGTCCACGATCGGGACGGGTTCGATAATGGGTTATCTCGAACGGCCAACGAGCCTGACTTTCGATTTGTATCATAGCGCGACGGAGTATCTTTTGTCTCTAATTTCGTCGCGATGCTGCCTTGAGTACCAGAATTGGGTACTTGTAGGCTCAATATACCTCATTTGGGACGTATGAATAGTTTTAAAAATGATTATCGAAGATGTAAATTTTCCCTGAAAATCAATTTTCAAGTCACGTAATTTTGCTACTCTCGCAGCATCCAGCACAACGAGCGAAATCACGCGACGACTAGTGGCACTTCATCGCGCAATTCATTTGTACGCGTTTTTAAACGACTACGTAGTTGATTGTCCACGATCGAGTGTCGAGAGTGCTAGCGTTTCGCACCAAAATATTACGGTTAAATCTCGTCAATTTCGAAACACGAGAATGACTTTTTCTAAATGATTGACGAGGTTCGTCGAGTTGATGGAAAAAACGGCGGGACGAAAAAAAAAAAAAAATGATTGCGACACGTCGCTGTTGCGCGCGAAAGTACGCCAGAGTAAGGGCGGCGTTTCCAACGCGAAACGTTCAAATGGAGAAGTATTTGTGTACGTCGAAACAAGAAGAGCCGCAGTTATTGATGACAAACGGGGATAACGAGCGCGCGGGAACGTTATTAAATTTTGAGTGGATTGCAGCCAATAAATTGAATGGCGTGTTACACTTGAACTGCGCGACACACGCGCGGCAAACATTTTCAAACGGCCTTCAGGTTCTCCAAACCGTGCAACGAACGAAACAAGGGACAGAGCGAGTGAAAAAGAGCGAGGCCAGAGAAAACAATTTTCGAGGTATCGGCCGTACATCGAAAGGGTAGCTTTTCACGTATCTTTACCTTCCACAGTCCATTGAAATCGGCCATTGAATTCCACCCGGGATTCCCCTGAGGGAAAGTTTCGACGCGAAGAAAAAAAAATGCTCTTTTTCGATACGCTCTCTATGGTCGTGGCACAAAGAACGGTGAAACGACGCTCCGCCATAGAGGGAGGAAACGACAATTCGAAAATGCAATTATTCCGCCAACGTATCGTTGCCCGTGCCACCTGTCGCGAAACCGAAAACCACCCCAAATAAAAGGGGCGGGGGGGAGAAATGCGACGGAGAGCGAGACGGGAGATCGTGGTCTGGCCTCGCTGCCGATCCGGCCAGATGCGACGATTGTGAGGACGCGAAACATAATTTAAAAGCGCAGAACAACGCGATCACTGGACGGACTGAGCTTGGAGCTGGCAAAAGGGTGACGCTCGAGTTTCATTCTTTCGCCCGGATCCAGGCAAAACGGATCGTGTTTCCAGCGAGGCCTTTTTTTTCTTTGATGATTATCAACGGCCATGGCTTGCGAATCGTAAATTGAGGCGTGTGAAAAATTCGCGTGTCGAATTTCTTCTGTGACGGCTATCGCGAACTTCCTGCTTCGATTACTCGCCGAACGAAGAATATTACTTTAGAATTGCACCCGAGTTCATCATTGGTCGTGAAAGAATTTCAACAGTGAATTTACACGTCGACGGTGTACAAGTTTGATATTCAGTGTACCGTGAAATGGCGAAGCCTGAATTGTTTAACCTCTTTATGTTTGCAGTATCGGTTTCGACACCAGTTTCAAACAATTCTTGTTGTTACACCAATATCGATTTTATTTTTTTCCCTTTTGGATTGTTCTTTTACGATGCATCCTGTTTGTTTGCAATCTCGTTCAGACTAGAGTGGTGTCCATTTTAAAGAGGTAAATTTTTACCGTATTAGGATGCAAAAATACATAATTATTCCGATATTTTTTTTAAGAAAGCTGTAGTAGTCCTCAATCTACAATCTTGCAAAATTCAACGAATTCTAGATAACATTCATACGATGGATGCTCAACAAAAATTGTATTACTTCATTCTCATACTCGTTAATTTAATACTGGTATAAAATATTTAATTTCTCCCTCTTCAACGCTCGTCAAGGGCTCTAAATTGAGGTCGTGCTCGCAACAGCGCCAATGGAAGCTTTTTGGGCGCTTTCCTCAATTTTGCATAAGCCTTACGTAAGCCTGTTACATGATGCATGCACATGTGCAACGCGGAAACATTCAAGCGCGCTTATCTTGGATCAATCAACTCGTAATTCTGTGGTTCGAGATCATTTTGAAATTTGCCATAGTAATGTTTCACGCGCCGATCGCATGCTGTAAGAAACTCGTTTACATCTTGTAAATAAAAAAAAAAAAACAATGTATCGTATATCAAAAATTTTAGACTTACCCTCAGTTTTTATATTTTAATAAGTAGACTATGATTTGGTCAATATAGACGTTGTGTGCTGTTTATATGTGAAATAGCATAAAAGATATTCATCCAAAAGCCTTTTCTTATGTATTTTATTGTTAGTATACCATTTTAGGTCTATTGTACCATTTGACTATTTGAAGGTTACATTTAATAATATAAGAAATTTGAAGAAACAAATAATATATGTTGACCTCATCTTAAAATTATTATACGTAGATTAACAGGACTTGTAATTTAATATTCGTGGTTTCTTCGTATAATACACGACTTACAGATATTTCAAATCTCAAAATCTTCGAAGAGATCATTTTCGTATTATAAACTCAATACACGTTGTTGTACTTATCGCGAAAGAGAAGGAAACGGAGAAATATCATTCTATGGATTGATTATACTGCGACAATATTTGGAACAAACTGATCCAGAGCTCGGTGTTTCTTTTCGAAAGCAAATTGCGGACAAATGAAAACTTTATCTTTTATCGGGAAACGATGTGAAATCGTATAGGACACAAAGATCATTCGACGTGAACGGTTCCGGTAAAACGGTTCCAATAAAATTCCATCGCGAAGCTAACGTTACCGCAGAGTTTAGTTCCATGGAGAATTAGAGATAACGCGGTTTTGACTCCGTTCACTGTGACAACATTGTGTCGCGACCAAACATTAACATATTGAACACTTTCCGCTTGGTCTGGAATGAACTCTCGTTACAAAAATTGCAAAAATGTGTTTTCTACAGAAAAAACAAGTTTTACAATCCACCCTGGTGATATTTTTTAACGAGCTTATGCGTGGTTAACACGAGTGTGTTTAAAGGTCTGCACGAATTTTAATGTAACATTACATTTC